ATTTTAATGGTGAAATTCTCCTATTTGAGGCACCTAGAGTATAAATGCTTCTATCTAGAGTAAGAGGTGGCTTCTCTAAATTTCCAAATCATTGATAAGAAAATTGAAATTGAGAAATGCCACCTTAAATACCATAAGAAGATCAGGTAATTGCTCAAAAATTGGTGGTTTTGAAATTTATCTATCAAAATTAAAAGCTACAAAACAACCAAATGGTTTTTCTAAGAAAAATGAGGAAACATTTGTGGTTTCGTTCCCATGATGACAAAATTCTCTTGTTATTTTTGTGGTAATTGGAAATTAAGGGGCATCTTGTTACAAGGGTGATTTGGTTAACACCCCTTTCTTTTTTGGAATGACAAATCCATCCATTCTTGAAATTGACCTAATTTTTATTTTATTTGTTGGGATAGCTTCACTCAATTTCTTTTTTTTTTTTTTTGTGAAAATTCCTATTTTGGGTACTTGGTTAGGGGTGGCAATTGGTTGGGTCAGATCGGACCCAGACTTGGACCCGGCCAAAAAATTAAAATGTCTATGTATCTTAAGTATATGTCAATATATTTTCATAAATTGAGAAATGTGGGACCTGGACCCAGACCCAACACACCGGATCTAATTTTTTGGCTCATACCCAAACTCAAGTCGGATCTAGACATCGGGTTTTGGGTTAGGTCTGGGTCCATTGCCACCCTAACTTAAATGGTCACAGGGGGATTTGGGGCATCCCAAACACCGGTTTTAGTATTTGTAAACACAGTTAAGTAATTGAGATTATCTTCACTAAAATGTTCGTACTTCTTGTAAAGCATGTCACTTTTTAAGGGTTCTTATGTCATCTTTAATGATATATATAGGTCATGTTCAACTGATTTATTTATAAAGAGAAATTTATAAAAGTGTAGATACCCCATTTTTAAAACTGACAAATTCTGTGATACTCTTGGACCCTTAAAACTACATTGTTCCAGGAAACCCCAGACCATAGACCATCATAGTCCGTGGTCCCTATCCTGTGATCTAAAATCATGCGTGACTATTGTTTAACCTGTATTCAGTTTAAATCTAGCTAGGTTCGAGTCGTAATAGAACTAGGTCCAATTAGGTTCAAGTTAAAACCTAATCTAGGTCCATGCCAAAGCTAGGTCCAACCTTTCTAGTATAGCACAAGTCTAGGAGTCAAATATCTTCTCTTCTTACTTCTTAGGTTGAGAATGGTGTCAAAAGAAAAATCAATGACCATTAGCTTGATGGAACATTGTTAAGGATCATCTGGACTACAATAGGTGAATGGTGGAGGAACGAAATCGAAAATCCAAACAGATCCTGGATACCCAAGGGTAGTATCATGTATTTTCAAGACTATGTTTTGCTCGAAAACTCTAGAGAACTCTCATTTGAATTGTAATACAAGAGCAGATGTTGGAAGATAAATACATGTTTGATGATTTCGCATCCTGAAGATTGAAGCAAGGACTTGACACGCTTATATAGGGTCCATCAAATGGGTCACAAGTGATTAAATTGTAAGACCCACATTTAAAAAAGCAAAAAAATCTTTTAAAAAAATGCTCCTCGGTGGCATGAGCCTAAACTGCCAACCAATTTTTTAAAAATATATATTTTCATTCAAAAAATTTCAAAAAGAAATGGCTCATAAGTGGCACGAGCCTAAACTACTAACGAAAATCCAGTTTAGAAAACGTCTAACCCCGTATGACATAAAAGGTCGGGTGTATCCATCTAATCCCGTACAACATAAAAGGTCGGGTGTATCCGTCTAGCCCCGTATGTCGTAAATGGTCAGGTACATCCGTCAATCGCTGCATTATGTTAAACTGCTTAGAGGTATGGTTGCAGGAGTTAAAACTGCTAACCAAAATTTTGTTTTCAAAATATCTACCTCTTTTCAAATTTTTGCTATATGTTTGTGTTTTCAGAAAAAAAAACTTTAATTTATTTGTTAAAATCGTGACCTATCCAAGTTCTGGGTTCTATTTAAAATAACTCCCTATTTTCAAAATTTCTAAAATGTCTTTTAAAACGAAGGAGCTTTACACCTGTATATGATGATTATCGCGTTGTCGCCTCATCTCTCTCTTCAGAATTGACTAGGCAAACATTTTCCTAAACAAGTAAAACCTATAGAAGACCTTAGATAACCCTAAAGAAATAAAAAAAAAATGTCAGGTTCAATAATTTAAAAGTGAAAACCTCTGAAGTTAAGTGATGGTTAGAAAATCTAACTTGAGTTTGAAGCTTGTGTAGATCACTGGAACATTTCACACCAAAAACCCTAGGATGAAAATGCCTAGGTGGGTGAGCGGGGAGCACATTGTCTTGGAGGGAAAGTTGCTATGCCCTATGCTCATGTGACATCAAATAAATTAAAATGTCATTAGTGTCTACTTCTTTGACACTCACCTGTTTTTGGAAGGACATGGAGCGCCAAAGATGGGCAACTGTAGACACCCCATTTGAAAATATGACAAGTTCAATGGTTTTTCTAAACCCTAGACAACCTTAGGACTACACTATCCTAACAAACCCCAGACCATAGACCATTATAGTCCGTGATCCTTTTTCGGTGATCCATAATCTTGCATGACCATTGTTTTAGTAATAAATCAAGTAAAAATAGCATAATAGCTTTTTTTACTTAATTTTTGGTAGGCAACGTCATAAAAGCGCAACGGCTAATTTTGGTCAGATTTGAGCTCCCTTTGACTCCTAAAATGGAAATTTGGTTGTTTAATCTGCTTGAAATTGGTATACATCCATTCTGGCACGATATGAGCCTTTATATAAGCACATTTTGTGGCCCATTTAAGGTGAAATTTTGTGAATCCATAAACCAGGAAATTTGAGAGATAGAGAGAGCCCACCATGTGAGCAAACCTCAGATTTAAGAAAGCCTTAGCTTTAGGCCATTAAACTGGCAGCCATTAGGTTAAAAAAACCATCCAACTAAGCCAAGGGCCGGTCAAAATCTGAAGAGAGACAAAGAGGACATGCGTCATAAACTCAGCCGGTCCTGATACGAGCGAGGCACGAAGCATAGGGTTTGTTGGGCCAACTGGCTTGATCAGATATTTTTCATCATATTTTCTTTCATTTTTCAGTTTTCTTGTTAGATCTAGCTTTTATTCTTATTTCATTCAATATTTTGTGCTTTTGGATTTTTCATCATCTTTTCTTTTATCTTTCAATTATTTTGTTAGATTTAGGTTTTTATTCATATTTCATTCAATATTTCGTGTTTTTTGGATCTATGCTGGCTCTGCTACTGATCTGAGAGCGGAAGTACTCATTCCGAGTAGATGGCCTTGCATCATAATTTGATTGTCTCAACTCTCTATCACTCATTTTAAAATCAGTTTGTGGTTTGGATCTTTTGAAGATCTCTCCGATTTGCATCGCAAACAAAAAGTATTTATAAGATATGAAGTATTTAAGTAATGGAGAAAGTTTATATAAGGTTGCAATCGTAAAATGTAGAATTATAGATTCACCTAAAAAATCCATCGAAAAATGTTGTTTTAACGTTGAAAATACATCTAATTGATCATCTCGATATGAATATGAAAATAAAAAGATTTTGAGTCCTAGAAATAATGCATCTTGCAATATATTATCTAGACCATCCATTTTCAAGATTTTCATATATTTATAGGTCTACTTGATTTTAACCATTTTTGGGGCTTAAAATTTTATAATTAGATATGAATATAGATTTTGAGATAATCCTAAGAATTTTTTACCAAAATTACATAGTATGAT